GATAAAATTTGAGTAAGATAAGGGATACAGTTGAACTAATCACTTACCTAATTAATTTCAGAGAAGTGAATTTTTGCATATAAAAAAATAAATTAAAGATTAATCATTCATATTAACCAAATACTTTTATTATGATAAAGATATAAACTATTTCTATACTGATAACGATATTTATGTGCGAATATATATTGTCTTGAATGATGCCATTGAAAAACATTTCTTCATTGAATTAGTTCCTTTCCAAAGCTCTATAACTTATCATCTTAGTAAAAGAAAAATATCAGCAAGGTGTAGTCGAAGAAGAATTGTGTACAAAATACTCTTATAATAAAATTTTATATCAAAACTAAAGGATATATATAGAAAAAAAATCTTCGAATAATGTATGTTAGCTAAATAGTAATTTATTGAACCTTAAATATTTATTGAATCAATCAATCACTACACTAATCTATCAATAAATTATTTTATATGAGGTAAAGAGTATTTTCAAAGCCTCAAATTTTTACAAAAATAGATGTTCACTTCATTTATTAATTGTTATTTATGTTTAGTTAATTGAATATACACTAAAGAAGTGAAGATAATTTGGTTAATGGAAATTCTAGAATTTGTGTTACTTAGTCAATTAACAAAGAAATAATAAACATATATTCCGGATATTAATCATCCAACATTTCATAGTATTGCTTTCACACGATCATTTAAAATAATTTACTAGATTGTTATGAACTTCATTAGTTGTAACTATACAAGGGTTCATTTACATAGAATTTTGTAAATTTTAACTGTTTTGCTATCTAGACATTGTTTTGTTACAATTATATTTTTCAGATAAAAGCTGAACTTCATGTATTATTTGTCAGCTTTAAATTGGATTACTTGAAATGGATTCCTTTTCTCTCATAAAGTTTGTTAATGATATTTCAAAAAGGAGTGAATATATATAGAAGTATCACAAGGGATTTTGTGGAGATTGCAGTAATTTCAATAGTTGAAATCATGAATCAATTGAAGCTAGACCACCATGGAAAATCTGGAAGCACTGGATGGCCGTCCCACAATTGATCCATGATCTCAACTATTAAAATATATAGACGTAAACGTCACTTCACGTACTCCCTATGGATTTAGTACGTTAATTTACTATTTGGACCAGTATTTTGTAGAGATTTATACAGCTTGATAATATTTTTCATCAAGGATTGATCAGTTAAGAAAATAGTTAAAGACCGGGACTTTATATTTTAATTTTTTTAACTGATTGGAAATGAGCACCCACAACCTCGAACATTACCGAACCTAGTAACTTTTATTTTGATCAGAATGCTAACAACGAGTAATGATCAAGTTATATTTTGATCTGCGCTAGAAGTGGACAGGACACAAATTGAGGAAGTCATAAGAATGAATCACGAGGCAAGCCCAAAATTGGAATCCTGAAAGGAAACGGAGAAGAGGAAGATCAAGGAATACACTGCGGCGAGAAATACAAACTGGAAAGCATTGTCCTGGACAGAATTGGATGGAAAATGTTGACGATCGGCCTGTGCTCCTCCACGAGGGGTAATAGGCATGAGTAAGTAAGTATATTTCGATCTGACTGGTATTGTAACCGTGTAACGTACATAATAACATCTTTAGGTAATGGGATTAATTGCATGTTCATTGATAGAAAGCATATTATCCACAAATCCCAAAGTAGGACGACTTAAATGTATAGTGTTTCTTGGTTTTTTACGGTCCACCAGCTAATCTAAGTCCGTAATGAAAATCATTTTCAAATATAAACAATGACACAACGCTTGGACACAAACACTAACATCATTACTAAACAACAAATAAGCCATCTGGAAAAATTCTTTAGAATCGATGTTTTAATAAAATGCAACATTAAGACAAGGTTTTTAGAAGCAGACTCACTATTATTGATAATCAAAACAATTAATCTTGTCACTAAAAACTAGTAATAAGAAACAACATGAATTAACCGCTTATCTTTGTACTGTCTCACACAATTATTCAGTATAGAAACAAACTTAGTAGCTTACATAGTTAATTTATGGAGCTTATTTTCTACATAAAATGATTGGTATAAACATGTTTGACTTCGTACTTAATATCATATTCAAAGTGGTTTTGTAATAGGTCCATAACTTTTCAGTTCTTTAGAGCGACACGTCTATTCTTTTTATCTTCTATGTTTCGAATATTGAAAATCGGCCCTAACTTAGTTTTATATTTCTATAGTTCATTAGCTGACTGCTGCTACTTTATTTTACAAATTATTATCCTGTTAGATGGTGAAAGTTTAGATAATTATTTCAACTTGTCTCACGAAATTGTAAAAGAAAACGCAAAATTTCATAATATCATGTTATATTTCCGTAATTTTTGTGAAATTGAAGACAAACTAATTGTAAACACTAATATATTTCCATGTATATTCATAAACGAGAAATAGTACTATAGGGAACAAAAATAAAATAAAATATTTTCTGATGATTTTTAATACTCTTCAGGTGTCTATAAAATGCTATTATCCTTAGAATGGAAGTTGTGAGTGATTGGCCTTACTAACTGGCAATGAACCCTATTAAGTTTATATAAGTAAAGGGCAGTACGTCTGATCCTGAGCATTAGTTGTAACATGGTTGATAGAGATTGCCAGTACGCTATTCTCATGAATACCAAGGAGCAATTATTAGGTAGTAACATGAGTAAGATTCCACGCACTTGATAAAATCTGTCAATAAAACCAGCTTTCGTCGTTCTTACCAATTTGAATAATCATCACTTTAGAAAATCTATTTCAACTTCAATCCTTGAATACGTCTATTAACATGCAGTGAAACATATGCTTTGAACCTTAAGATTACAGAAAGAATTGTATAATACTACAATGTTAATCTAACGAAAATATATTGAATCTGATAGATAAATAAATAAAAAGTTTCTCTTAAGTCGTTTTGATCAAGACAAAATAAATAAAGCGGTTTTGGATTTGGTCTTCATTGTAGTAAATCTGCTAATGACACTGAACCAAATCCACTCTCAGCTGTTATCATATATGTTTGTTGATTTGTTTGTGAAGAAACATTAAAAACGCAAGTTCGGCGAACTGTCTTTTTCGACCAGTTTCTCATCAAGGCTCTATATTTAATCATTACAGTTAAGAATAAAATCAATGCCAAATAAATGGTGATTGGTCAGTTTAGGTGTTTTCTCCAAAACAGTGTAGTTAGAAGCTCAACAGATGTAAGGTTAGATCTAGAGATTTTGTGATCGGTTAATTACAAAAATTCACCACGTAAGAATAAGAATAAATACATACGACTTAACAATTGAAAATCAAATGTAGGGACTATAAAATCACAAATCCATGCAGAATTGGTCATCACTTTTCTCTTAACCAACAATGACTCACAAGTTGTTTAAGGGTTAACTTACAGAATGCAATTGGAACCTAGTTCCGTTTGTAAATCATGTTAGCAATCTCATGCTGTCCTCAACAGCGCAAATTATTATTGTTCAAAAGTAATGCTACAAATAGGCTTATAACTTTGATCTTAAAGTTGCTTATCAGAAAGGTACTGAGTACCAAGTTTTGACAATCCAATGTGAGCCGCAATTATGAGGTTGGTACGTTATATACGTAAATGTGTGTGGCGCATATATATTTGGTGCCCCCTGTACCAATATTTATGTGTTCAAATAAATAAATAAATAATACGTAAATGCCATAAAAGAACCAAAACATAACTCAGTTCGTCAGTAGTTATCGTCTGGGTCCAACCAATGTGAACAATAAGTATTGGGGAACCTACCTAGTATTTTTCTGAAAGTTAAGAACACTTCAAAGTAAAAGACTACAATGAGCAACCATGGGTGGGAAAAGTCATGCATTTGGATGGTCATTCTGCCGCGCAAGATAAGTGAATAGATAATCGCATTCACTTTTATCTAGTTCTTCAAATGTAACCTATTTTTGGCCACTATGAAATATAAATATAAAACAAAACACTGTTTGATCTGAAGGTAACAAAAATCCAATACTAGATAAAGACGCATTTTTCAAGTTAAATAGCCTGCTGTTGATATTCGAAAGTAGTGAGACTAACTTTTCCAGATTATGGACGTGATTATATTTTCGTTAGATTCGCAAAGATATCTCTTGAAAACTGATACTCTCCTCGGAGCATTTACTTAAAATCTTGGCTTTATCAAGCTTGTAACTACGCCTGAATTCATCTAAAAAAAATAAAACTAAAAAGTTTATACATGTTTTTATTGACGTTAAAATTTAAGATTATACTCATAGAAAACTGACCGAACACTTATTGTGGCATGACGTTATTATTGATACTGACCAAGACCAGAATTATGAGCTATTCAGTATGATACAAATACCTACCAAACTGTAATTATTGAATACCAGTTGTCGGTAAATACAATCAACTTTGCCGAAACTAATTAGTATTCGAAGATTCTTTGGTACTGTTTGAAGACTGTGAATATATCAGAAAACTTGCATACAAACTAAAAGTTCAAGATGACTAGAAGAGAGAAACCTAAAGAGAATGCACTGTCATATGACTATGATTACTAGTTATTTAAGCACCCTAGATAGTCATTATGAATACTGATCACAGACCATATTTAGTGATAAACCTTTAGAGGAAGCTAGTGTTACAATAGAAATGGGATTCTAAAACGTTTTCGATGACCATTTGGCTTCCATTTTATCGGGAGGACATTATACAAACTGTGGTAATCAAAAACACATTTATCTGTATACATTAGAAAGTGGCAGGAATTTACCAAACACTAGGATACTGCAATGCTTCATCGTCAATAAAACTGTTGTACATAATAATTTTAAAGATTAATCTAGGAACTTAACAACACTTCAAACATAATCATTTATTTATACATTATAAATGAAAAATATGGAAAGTAATAACTAAGTATGCATGTATAGCACATTTATTGGAGAAAGATCAAGTTGGTTCCTCTTTTACAGTTACAGAAGACAATAGATTATGGTTTGACCTATATTTTCTACCACATTTTAACAGTGCATCATTTAATAGAGCATGAACAATCTCTTCCGAATCTGAATTACCTTTCTTCTTTAGTACTTTGGAAGTTGATGAGTTTTCCTTTCGTAATCTCTTCACAGAACCAGCTGGGAACTCATCATCAGTTAACAGACTTTCACTACAATTACCGAGGACTCCAGCTAGTTGTAATGATTCTTCAAGTTTCCAAATCTTTGGTTTACTAACTTTTGGTGCTTTATTGTTAGATGAATTAGACGGAAAAGTGACTGGATCAGAAGAATTTTCATAAAATGACGGAGTAGTCTGATAACTATCAGTATCATTGGACACTTTTATTACTGGTTTTATATCACTCATACCAGCGCCAGTAGAATTTGTTTGATGCTTATGCTGTTGCTCGGAATATTTTGATAAGGGTTTCGAAAGACACTCCATAAAGTCACCTTGTAAAACTGGAGAGCCAAAATTATTATCAATTTGAGTCAATTTAACTCTTATTTTGTCAAAAGGTTTTAACATGGACTGGCTGAATTCTTCCTTTTTTACTGACTCAGAAGATAAACGTGGAAGACTAATCATCACATTTGAAATTTCTGTACGGCAAAGAATAAATTGTGGTCTAACCACTGAAACAATCGCATCTACTTCCAAACCCAAATATGGGCGAAAAATATTGACCCTTATCTTCCCGTGTACACGAAGATGGTTTAACTCTGGATGAATCACAAAAAGACCACAAGTGAAACCAATAGGAATAGAACGATCAGAATAATCAACTTCAGTTATGATTTGTAAACTTTTTGCATTGAAATCCACAAGGATACCTTTTAGGTCAGGTATGAACTTATTAACAGATGAACTAACATATTGAAGTAAAGAACGGGTCAGCTGACTGAAATTAATGGGATAAATCGGGACACAAAATGACCAAATGGTACTCTCCATTTTCATTCACTCTGAAAAAAAGAGGACAAATATATAAACTACACAAAAAGACAAAAACGAGGATAAAGGGGATGGTAAATTCAGAATGAATAATCAAATGTTGCAGATTCATCTGACCCGTCTGCATTGCTGTAATGTATTTTGAGCCATCTACACAGTAGACTTACGCCATCAGTTGGCTTTTAAACAGATTAATGACTCAGTTAGGGTTAGAACCCATAATGAGTTGAAAAACACCTAGTCGCTTATTAGATCTCAACATTGGGAACTATCAGTTAAACTGGTTTGTAGTTTGTCGTCAATTTTAAATGAGCTCTGTATGGCCTAAGGATACCGCTGAACAACCCTGATATCCTAACCATTTAGCCAATGAGACAGAAACGATTGGTGAGTTATTTGCTTCGTTATAACTAGAACTAATGATATGCAGATCAACATGTTAGTTCGCGATGAAAGTCGCAATCCTTACTTTTAAACTCAATTATTTAAGGTATTTTGGTGAATGTGATGAGATCTCGGATTAATCATCACTGTTACAGAGATATTTTAGCCTTACCACACAAGCTATTAATCAGAAGCGACAAAGGTAGGATATAATTCAGTGCGGTAAAATGAACAGTAGCTGGTATGTAAGCAACTGCTGATTCACCACTAATTGGGTGAGTTTTGACAGGAGAAACTTAGAAATATAATTAAAATTATCTCAGGAGTACGAATGGTTCGCTTAAGCCAAAATGCTAAATACTCCTAAGTCTTAAGTGAGCCTTGGGATAAACTGCCGAATTCTACACATGTATTACACTCCTAACCATGGAGGATTAATAGGAATATGAAAATTTAGTTTGGCATTTCAGCTACACTTTGAATTTCACGACTAACGTTGTACGGTTTTGTAGTAACTTACGTTTAGGTATTGTAAAGTAGGATTTAGACAGCATACTCTTGAGATCTCACAATAACGGAAGCCATAAACCAATATACTATTTAAAGTAGTTTTAACCCAATAACGTGAGGTGGTAACCTATTAATGGCTACAACATTCATAATCACTTTCCTTGATTTGAATAAGAATCTTTTGACATGGGACTCAAAGATTTTAGGAACATGTTTTTACAATGTACAAAAAATGTGAAACAATGAGAGGATACACCACGCCAGACTGTAACGCTAGCATTGAGAAACGCGGTCTACATGGTTTAGTTTGTGTCCAGAATAGCAGAAGCTCCCGCTTAACTAACTTCCGTATCTAATAATAGCTGGTCACAGATGCCTCTAGATATAAACTTGAGCGTATAAAACAAGCAAACGTGAAACCATCATCGATGAATTTGGATAAGATATTGAAGGATACTACAGGTATTTGGGGTTTAACAACGCTTTAACTAGAAACACTTTCTATTATGAATCGTACCCACCAATTGAAATCAAAAGACGTAAGAGGGGAGGTTCGAAGATATATTTGATAGGTTATTAATATGTCGAGGATCGTCTGATCTAGACTGGCTGGCGATTGCAGGGCATGTTGAGCACGGCGTTCCCACTCGTGATTTTGTGTGTATGCATGACCGAGCGCCTTCAGCTAGGTGAGTCCACTGAAACTAATGTGGTCAGCATCCAATGTCAAAGACTTACAGAGCCATTTATTCTGGGGAATTATTTACCGCTACAGATCACTCCCCAACTGATGGAGTAGTGATGACCCTAAGACGTTTCCAACCGGAAGTTTAAACCCCACTAGTTTGTCAGTGGCAAACACTTCTCTGACAGCTTGCATTGTCGGAGGCTTCTGGTCGTTTTACCTTACTATAAGATTTTATCATAGGTCATTTACTTTTTATACTGTATGTAAATGATCTCCTAAGTATGGTGATGATATAAAAATCCAGCGAGAAACAACAGGAGTCGCAGATGCATGCACACTTCAGGCGGACTTAGATGTTCTGATCAGCTGGTCTAGAAAGTAGACAAGTATGTCCACATGCACTTTGGGGATACAAAGGTAAATAGGTACAGCCTAGGGAAAGCGCCTGTACCCGTGGTCTGGTCTCACAAGAATCTTGGGGTGATATTGAATCATGGTGTTAAGACCACAGCCCATTATCGTGAGGTTGCAGCTAAGGAATTTAGAACTCTATGGGTTTTAAAACGGACATTCACCAAGTTAAATACTACCATGTTCACTACAGTATACACAACCTTAGTGAGAACTAAGCATGAGAACTGCATTCAGGTTGCAAACCCCTGTTTAAAAGATGTTGTAGAATTATGGTCTACTATGATATTAGTACTGCTCTAATAATAGACCTAATCCTAAACTTGTAGATTTGTTATGATGTAACTGCCTAATCTATAAGATCTTAAGTGGAAGTCACATCATCGTCTACACCGACTCGTCGTATCGTACCAATTACCACCATATGATAGAGAACACATTCAGGCTAAAGATAGAACAATATTTTTATTATGAGTAAAAGCAAGTTGTACAGAGCAACCACGCTTGCGAGGCTGAGCCATGCCATCCGATCAGTTAAAATTCATTCAATTCCTTGTTCCCACCTTTTCCACCGTTGGATTTTTCTCCGCGTCAAATGTTTAACATCTATTTTCCCAAGTGTCTTGTGTTCAGCTTTGATTATTGTGAGGTTAAGGCTCAATGCCACTACAGTGTTTCGGATATCCTGGAAAACGTACAGAGTACAGCTACCCACGCAATTCCAGAACTCCGGGATTTACCGCACAAAAAGGCCGCTTGAAAAGCTAGGCCTCTTTAATTTGTCCTACCACAGATTAAACCATGATCTGATTTTGATGTATAAAATACTGAGAAATGATTTTGAACCTAATACATCCTCTCTTTTTTCCCTCACTAGATCGAGACATCTCAGCGTACATAGCAGGCGAGTAGAAAAGCCAGGAAGAAATAAAAAACCAGTGACACAGTAGGGATGATCCAGAAAATTTCTCGAAAAAGACATGCAAGGATCAGGAAACATTAGGAAGAACTTCATACAATCAGCGTTCACTTGGAGTTTTAGCCAGAAACATCAAGGATGTGAAACGTCACATGTAGATGTTCTGTTTGGCTGATTGCTATACTGCTACTATGTTTAGTAGCATTCCGGAATCTTCGAGCAACCCAAGAACATTTAAAATATTATAAAAACCTATCTTTTCTGTATTAGAATGAACCTTGGAGTAAAGTACTTTTCGCATACTCTGCGCCTTCTCTCTCGTGTTCAGGTAGCTGTGTAGTTCTAGCCCGGGGGTTTCAAGAATAGCTTAGGAACCGAGTATAGCGTTCAAATTGCAAGACTTATCAGGCATTGAGGTTTTCACTTGGAACCTGTTGCCCGACTCAGTGGTGTCCTCACCTTCAATTGTTTTATTCGAGAGAAAATCGAACACTCACAGAATCATAGTAGAAAAAGAATGATATAAGCCACAGGCCTTCTGCCCTCACTATACAAATCTTAATCTGAAAAACTGGTAAAATGAAACTCCGATTCTTTTTAATATTCGTCGGTTTTCCATCTTTTCCAGTAGTCCTAGAAAAAAACAGGATATATAAGTGAAAATCTAATTTTATCCGTGTGTACATAGGGACATAAATCGAGAGAAGAGAGGAAAATACACCCATATACATTCGTTTCGTAAACATGCAATAGCGTAAAAACGATCTTCGCGGAATGGATTGTTCCGGTTTGTTCTGAGACACAAAGATATAAATATATATACATATAAGCATACCAGCGACAGAAATTTTGTTCTTTGAATAAAGTAAATAATCACAATGAGCACATTAAAGATTTTGTAACTCAGTAATACAAAAAAGCCGATATGAAACAAAATGTTGTGTAGTGTCTTACGTGCAATAGTCGTCTAAGTGATCTGAAAACCTCACTCTTCTTCCAGACGTGTTGTTTACTGTCGTTTGTCAGATACTATCAAAGTGTCATCGTGATTGTTAATTATCGAGTGATATATTGTAATTGTGGGACTCTTGTTCTTCGATTTACTAAAAGAAAATCGACATGAATACGGTTACCTTCTAAATACGCGTCCTTCAGGAGATCTATGCTGATGCTGTCGTTAGTTTCGTTCTTATCAATGATATAATACTTATGTAACATCTTAAGTTGATTAGTTAATGTTTGAACTCGAACAACTAAGTATATGTCAAAACAATAGAGCTTAAGTACTTCTTTATTTCGTATGGGCATTATATTGAATGTTGAAAAGCTCTGTGTGTTTAGACAGGTAATCCCCTGCTTTGATTGTGACTACCCCGCGATCTAAATAAAGTCCTATTTGCTGCTAGTCTAGTTTCTTCTATCAATAAAACGAGGGTTATCTATTAGCTGTAGAACTTTGAAGGGTCCTCCGTACAAAGACGTATAAACTATATCGTAAGTAAGGGTGAACAAAAATATCAGTCGATTGCGGTCGAGTAGAAACAGGTTTAACCGAACGCATTGCGTTTGTAAGCCTGCTCATTTAGAAGTTTAGATCCATATTCCATAAAAAAGACAGCGGATCGACGAACTATCCTGGAAGTCAAAGTTTCGTTCCAGAAACGAGCTCAGCTGCTATGTATTCAATGTCAGCCTTCACTACATTGCGAATACTGGGTAACACAAGTTTAAGAGCGTCGGTCCACTGTGAAACGTTCACAGTTGATAGTGAAGCTTTTAGTTATCGGTGAAAGCGTTCTACCAACCAATTTGTTTGTGCGTGGTGGGCGGTCGTTTAGAATAGCTTTATTCCTAATTGTGTAGTCAGACAACGGAAAAGTTCGGATTTGAACTGACGTCCACGGTTCATAGTGAAGGTTGAAGGGCAGCCGGAATTCACTACACACCCTTTGATAAAGACACCGGCCACTATTTCCTTGATGGGCACTGCTTCTGGCAGTCTATTGAAATGGTCTACACATGTGAAAATATAAGACTATCCATTCGAATCCGGTAAAGGTCCTACCAAACCCAGGTGAACATGGTCGA